TATATATATATATATATATATATATATATATATATATATGCAAGTATATAAGTTTCAATTAATGATAAAAGTCAACGATTTTTTTTTAATAAATTTTCATTACTTTTTCTCATTATGACGTAATGAGAAAATACGACACATTACTAACGCATATAGATTAATATGTTTCAGATAAAATCTCTTAGTGTTCGTTATTCGTTAAATAATAATGTAATATTCACTCTTTTATATTTAACAGATATCAGTTATTTATTATATTTAATTTTAAATACAATTAGTTTTGTTTAGGAATTAAATACCGTATTTTTTGGCTTATAAACAACAGTATTTTTCATTTAACCTAACCTATACTGTAACCTTCATTATACTTGAATGTATCAGTTTTAGAACTAGCTTTCGCCATATTAGTAGATGGCTATAGTTCATTTTTTAGGATTTCGAAAAATTTGACAAGTCACTTGACGAACAAGAATCGAATTTTACATCAGGAAATCAGTGTTCTTTCAGTGAAAATATTTTTTTTTCTATTATATTTTTTAATTAACTTTAAAAATGAATATGTATACATAAAAAAATAAATTAGTAATATCTAAATGTTTAAATTTTATTGTGGGAAGTACATATATGGAAACTAATATCGAATTATATGATTGATGTTTAATCTTTTATAGATAAATATTTATATATGTATATATATATATATATATATAATTTTTTAATATAATTGTACACACACACACATACACACATAATGAAATATAAATATGTATTAAATATAATAAAATATAAAAAAAACGCGTGTGAGTAACAAATTTGACAATATGTTTCAATGAATTTACTGTAGAGTGTGCTAATGCATCAATAAAAATAAATTATCTTATCAATAATTCATTTTAGAAATAGCATTAATAAATTAATACCATTTGTTACTAATAACATGGCAACGCGATTAACATCTTTGCCTTTAGTATCTAAAATCTCGAATAAGATTATTCGGATTCTTGGATGCAACCCTGGTCCTATGACACTTCAAGGCACAAATACTTATCTTATTGGTTCAGGAACAAGGTGAACATAATAAAAATTCTTAAAAGAAAAAATATCAACATGTTACTAGTTAAGGATATATTTTCTATCTTAAATACATATGAAATACTCTAAAACTATTAAAATGAATTAATAAAATTAAATTAATAGACATAATGTAGTATATTAAAATTGCATTGCTATATTTTAAGTATTTAATTATAGGCGTGCATTAATTGATACAGGAGACACTGAAACATCAGCTGAGTATATCAAATTATTAAAAAATGTACTCGCAGAAGAAAATGCTACAATAGAACACGTGATAGTCACACATTGGCATCATGATCACATTGGTGGTGTAAATTCTGTTAAAGAATTATTAACAACATCAAATTTTAATGGTGATCCACCAACAATATGGAAACTGCCTACGTATGAAAAACCACAAGTAACACCAGATCTTATAAAGCAATGTAAATCTTTAGAAGATGAACAAATAATTGAAGTAGAAGGAGCAAAAATACAAATAAAACATACACCTGGTCATACAACAGATCATGCATGTCTATTATTAAAAGATGAACAAAGTTTATTTAGTGGTGATTGTATCTTGGGTGAAGGTACTGCTGTATTTGAAGATCTATATGATTATATGATTTCTTTACAAAAAATTTTGGACATGAAACCATCTGTAATTTATCCTGGTCATGGCCCTATAATAGAAGATCCTGTTCCACGAATTCAATATTATATTCAACATCGACAACAAAGAGAGAAACAAATATTAAATGCTTTAAAAGAACATAGCAATTCTATCTTTATGTCAGAAATGGATATTGTAGAAATCATATATAAGGTAATAAACTAATAATGTAATTTCTCTAATTATGAATTTACTATCAATATACATTATATATATTTTCAGGACACTCCAAAGAATCTATGGCCTGCAGCAGCTCATAATGTGATGCATCATTTACAAAAACTACATAAAGAAACAAAAGTAGTAGGCAAAGAGGGTGAATGGAAAATTTCAGAAAACATAGTTTGATACATAGTAACACAAGCATTTAATCATAAATATTGTAAATAATGTATTACCTATAATATAAAATTTGTATATATTAAGAAGACTCTGTCGAGCAATGCTGTGAAACATTTATTCAACTTATAGAAGTAACAATAATACATACTCATGGGCATTCTTTCAGATGGCAAATTCTTAACACTTGATGTGCGTACACAGTGTACAGTATATATTACAAATAAGTTTCAGTGACAAAGTACATAGCACATAGTACAATGATTTCTTTTTTTTTTTTTTATAGTTTTACCATTTGGCTATTTCACGAGTAAGATGCATCGAACATCTTAATCGTGAATGCACATGCGTGACCATGGAAATTACATCGGCACATTTAGATGATTGATATAAAATATATGTTCTGCTACAAAGATATATCACGACTATAAATGTTTCAATATTTTCCTTATAAAATTCGCATTTATAATATATTAGATAATCTTGGCGAGTATTCGTACTCATAGTACTTATAGCACCCCTTATGAAGAACAAAAGGGAATTATATCCCAATATAATTCGATGTTACGCATGCATTTATGTTCATGTCAACATACGTACATATAAGTGCACATGTGTGAACATGTATATGTAGATTTCGTAAAATCTTCAATAATTTCACTTAACTCCATAATCTGGCCATCTATTCGTTTCTTTGGGTAAATGTAAAAAATATATATATGTATGTGTGTATATATTTCTTCTTTCGTATCTATCACGATATATATACATATTAAGTGGTAAACTTAGTTCCTGTTGCTTGCTACTATAGAGTACTGGTTCCAAGCTAACAAGTTTCGACGGTGAAATCGCATGTTTTGTAGTTTAGAAATTGCTGAAATGAATTCAGTCTTTATAAATTTGATTTTTCGATGCTAAAGAAATTTATCAATCGGTTAAAAATGAATCGCGATAAACTATTTTTCCAACATGTATTTCTTAATTATTTTAACCTCAAGAAAACCGTAGCTGAAACGCACCGCTTATTATTCGAAATGTATGGTAAAATTTTATTGGAAAGAACACGTAAAGTTTGATTTTAATGCTTTTGAAACTGTGATTTCAACCTGAAGATGTTGAGCTACAAGAATTGCTCCATGATAATCCAGCTTAAATGTCGAAAGCATGAAATGTTACTCTATTGGCCGTTTCAAATGCTTTTATGACATCAGGATATGGAATCAATTTTAAAAACGAAGTAAGCGACAGGAATTTAGTTAACCACCTAATAACTTATATTAGCTATTACTAGCTATTAATCTTCATACTGACATATAATATATAATCTCTCTCCGTTATTTTATTCATCTACAAATCATCAATAACATAGTCAACATGATCACATTATTATATCATCAGTACTAATTAACAACAAAAAAATTAATTATTAAACAACGTGTAACGTAAAAAATATATTATACTTAATATATAATTGGAACGAAATAGAGATTAACAAATGATTCATTTTTTATCATGAAATCAAGTCAGAAGAGGAAAAAGTAGAATCAAATTATTTCACGCAAAAATATTCTAAAATATGTATAATGATCTTAAATTGGCTGCACTCAATTCTATGACTATGGATAGAGATTTCATTTTGAGTGGGGTCAGTACGCGATTGATTATATATTATATTATATATTATAATTACGACAATTTTTCTTTCTTTCTTTTGTACCATCTCTATGAAAGAAAGATCAATTCGAGATATTTTGTATGAATAAAGGCACCTGGATGCGTGAACATAGATATAGATAAATTAATCAATTATCACATTTGACAATTCGTAGAAAAAAATATAACGAAACCCTAATTGTCGCGCAGTATGCGCCCGTCTCACTTAACTCATGCATGCACATTTTCTCGATTGTTCCGGATTTTAAACGGATTTCATCCATACTAAATAATAATAATAATAATTAATAATTAATAATATTTAACAATAAGTAATAATTATTATTAATAATAATTATTATCAATTTAATAATTAATAATATTTAATAATTAATAATAATTATAATTAGTAATAATTAGAATAATAATAAAATCGACACTTAATTCCTATCACACGCAAACTCGTAAATGATATCGTGGCACAAAAATCGCTCATACTGCATTAAAATTAAACGATTTTGACGAACGTCTTGACGAGTCTTCACGATGCATTTATTAAACAGATCGAATATACTCTTCGTATATGATAAAAAAGTGGCAGTACTAAATTAAAAAGCCACCCTGAGGATCAAAACAGCTATGGTTAATGTAATTGAGGAGTTCGTGTTCTGACATGGAGGTGAGTTCCTGAGGTAGCATGTTTCCCACGTCTTCAGGCTTTCTCACGGAAGAACCAGCAGCATTTGTGGCTGCGTTTGGTATGGATGCATTGACGTTCTGTCTGTTGGGAGTAACAGGTAAAGCAACAGGTGGCGATTTGCTAGCGACTTGTTCAACTATATTATTTTGCCCAGAAGGTGACTTTGGTAAAATCACTTCCATAGCACTGTTCATTAGTTGAGCGCTTTGAGTCGCTACGCTGTTTAATATATTTTTTGTAGCAATGATTGCATGCGCCGTGGTCGTTGTGATTGGTCGATTGTTGATAATATCTTTCGTAGCATTTGTAATAACGTTGTTGATAGCTTGTTCGGCTGCAGTTGTTAGTCTCTGTTGCGAAGGTTCTTGAGCAGCACCGCTAGCCAAAGCTGAACTTGCTTCTGCCACAAATCCTGCTGGTTGATTCAACATTGATCCAATGTCTTGTTGAACAGCTTGTTGCATAGCTTGTGCCGCTTGAGCCTGTTGTACTGCCTGCTGAACAGCTTGTACTTGTTGAACTACTTCTTGAGTTGCTTGTTGTACAGCTTGTTGTACAACTTCCTGTGTAGCTTGCTGTACAGCTTGTTGAACCGCGGGTACAGCTTGTACTTGTTGTACAGCTTGAACTTGCTGTACTGCTTGTTGAACGACTTGTGCGTGTTGCACAACTTGCTGAACTACTTGTTGTTGAGCTTGTTGCACAGCTTGTACTGCCTGTTGTTGTACTTGAGCTACTACTTGTTCTACTTGTTGTTGTGCCTGTGCAACAACTTGTTCGACCTGTTGTACTTGCTGTTGTATCACCACAACCTCCTGCTGAGTTAAAGCTTGCATTTGCTGAATATGATCAGCCGTCGTAGCTATTGTTTCATTTGTAACTTGCAGCGTGTTATGAGACGGAACCGTTGAATTGGGCGTTCCATTTGCGGTTACTGACGATTCTTGTATCGTAACTGGTGGCAAAAGTGCAGCGTTAATTGTTGTGAGTAAGCTCTCATTAGATGGAGACTCTTGAACTGACGCGGAAGACGAGACAGCATTTGCACCCGATTGCACCGACTGCGGAACTGATTGTGGCATCAGAGCTTCGAGTAGCATTGTCTTTACTGGGATAGGTGGACTTGTTCTACTTCCTTGCTGTGGACTGGAAATGGCATCGTCGACATGGTTCATCATGTTTGTAGAATTCGGATTTACCGATTGCAAAGGCGAAACAATTTGATGAGATTCTGCAGCAGAATTCACTAGCACGTCCAATTTCACAGCTGCAGTTTGCGCGGTAGGTACTAAGAGACCAGTCGAAGATTGTTGAGTCGTTTGTCGATTGGTTGTGATTATGGAGGCTCGTTGCTGCATGGCATCTACGAAGTTACTTTCAGCATTTTCTTGCTCTTTTACTGTAGATACGGTAGATTCAATATGACTCAAATATTCTTCTACACTATGACCGCTTTGAGCTGGCAATGGTTGTCCTACAGAAGAAGCAGCGAAGCTAGATAACGCATTGTAATCGGATTGATGATGCTTCATACGGAGATCGACAACGCCGGCACCCTGAAGACTGCCATTAGAAGTGTTTTCTGCTGGCAATATCGAATTAGTATCTTTGTTGATATGATGTGGGCTGAGAACTTTGACTTGAGACGATTCATGCATACCTCCGAATGTATTTTGATGAGTTGACACCATAGTTAGAGGATGTTGATTACGCATTAAATCCACAACACCAAGAAGATTAACAGCTTCTTGTACTGGAGAACCATTCGTAGGTACGGTTACTGATCTGATTATGCTGGATTGTGTGGCTTCTCTGGAATTCTCGTTAACAAGTTGTTGTAAAGGACTTGTTCCCGTTGGACCATTTGCCGTAGGTGTTGGTATACTTTGCATACTATTATCACTAAGCATGCTATTCTCGCTGTTCTCATCAAGTACTTCTGTCTTTAAATTGTCCGGAAGAATTAGCTGCAGATTCGAAGAGGAACGTCGATTTAGAAGAGGATTCGCTATTAAGGATGGAGGTGGCATCATTACATCGGCTGAGGAATTCTGACAGTTTGATGATTGAGAGGCCCACATCATTACTGGTGTTACTTGAGACGACGTAGCTGCTGGGGGAGGACTTGGGTCACTTTTAAGATTTTCTGGCGACTGAGTCGGTGCTTGTTGAGATTGCATGGTTGTCAAGAAATTTGATGTTGCTGTGGCGGCAGGAGGTACCAAAGCTGAAAAGTGTTGAACATTTTTATAATTCAAAAAATTGTTAAGCAATATTATTGGACTTTGACCACTTACTGTTGGCGGGGACACCGGTTGTCAAGGTTACTGCTGAAGGAGATGTTGAAAGAGAAGCAGTCTCACCATTTGTTGTAGCGAGTGGTGGCGTAATAGACTCGACCTTACTCATTGATTGTTCAGAAGAAGTGGATGCAGCCGTGTAGAAAAAGGTGTGTGGTTCGCTTGTTTTTCCCGAAGACATTGCATAAAGCTTTACGCTTACAGTTTCCGAAGGAGCCAAGTCTTGACGTCTATAAGCTGGTACAACGCATACTAAATGAGTTTGCTGAAGAAATTCCTTATCAGGTAAGACGGCACATTCCCAATGTGGTTCCAAATTACTTGACATATCGTTGTTATCCAATTGAAACACTATACGAGTATCTTTTAGGAAATTCTTTCCCAAAATAAATAATTCTAATCCTCCAGTGCATGGACAGGAAGTTAACGATTTTTTACAAATTTCAGGTATACCTGGTGGTTGAGCTAAAAGATCAAATCTTCTGTTAATTTTTATTCGCGCTCTATTGCAGTCTATTAAGACTTTTTATTTTTTGCATATATAATAATATCTTTTTATATTTTTGGGTACTCACTGCAAACTATAGGTTGTGAACAAACTTGCAATGTTTCTGTAATACCATCCGAGTTCGTAATTGTCGTTCGGAATACCATACGACATCTTGTAGATTTTTTCTTGCTTCGTCCTTGAAGTACACTTGCTTCTTGCGGGAATCTGTGTTCTACATCAACATTGCGTTCCTTTAAGATACCGACGCAATCGCAAGTGACAAGCATATCTTTCGAGGGATCCATATCCACTTCGATTACGATCGTGCCATCGATTTTCCTTTCAATACAAGGCGTTGAATTTTTACCGCTAACTCGACAGGCTTGATAAAACATGTGTGGTGCCACTCTGCCAAGATCTGTGCCGATGAAAACTTGAAGAGTTGTCGGTTTGTCGTAACCGATCAAACGTACGATAGGAAATCCGTTTCCTGTGCGATCTTTTACTGCTCCTCTTGAACCTTCCGTTTGATAGCGCGCACGGTGTTGCTGTTCAGGCTGACAAATAATTTGTAATTGTACCTTTCCATCTATAGACGTACTAGCTGTAAAATGAAGAAAGTCCTTTTTAGAGAAATGTATTTTTCCAAAGATTCGATATCGACGTTTGTATGTTCGATGCCTACGTTTCTCTTTTCTTTTTAAAATTGTATGGTGTAAACTTGTATGATGTACATTGATATCGCGTTTGGTATCAAACAAGGTGTGCGAATGTTTTCCTTCGGCCGAAGAATGCCGGTTCCTAAACATAGAACGATAACGTATCTCGGTAGTGAAAATCATGAGGTTTACAATTTTGACGGAAATAAATCAATAGACGACACTTTGGTTTCAACGTGACAAGGCTTAATCTCTTCTTGAAGATAAAAAATTTGATGTAAAAATAAATAAATTCGTAAGCATCATAAGAACGAACGTCGTTTAAATTTTTCGTATTATTTTATAAACATTTAAAAACGTACAGAGTTGCGAGGTGAGAGTGATGGGGCCTTGGTGGGTTACCGGTGAGCGTTTACCCAAAACACCCATGGCTGGACGAGGTTTTGTAACACCGATGACTCTTCCTACAGTACCAGTGGTTCCATTTCCTGTTCTACCAGCTGAAATCGCCATAAGACCGATTCCATTGCTAGTACCTCTATTCGAAGTTTTTCCTTCAGGACTGCTGGAATGGGAAACCTCAGGAAAAGAAAAATTTGCATCCTCGGATTCGAGTTTTATATCCATTTTTCTTCTCTTCGAGTCCTCTTCACCGACACCGTTCCATGCCTGATAATCCAATAAATTCTTATTAATAAAACAATAAAATAATTATAAACCATTAACTGATTTTGCGCAATCGAAAGATTAGGAGAAGAAACCAATGATCTTAGAACTTTAGGAAAGCCTTGATCTTTCGATCCTTCATGAAATATATAGACACGACCCATATGTCCAGCGAGCTAACAAGCAAAGGCAAATTGATCGTCATAAATCTTGCATGAGTGTTCGTGCACCATGCTCGGTTCAATCTAACGAATCAGAACATCCATTGTGCGGGTTCAACCACCGTCAGATAGTACCGTATCATCATCCAGTAACGATGTTAGCAAACGGACATGTTGCTACCATGCGAGTATTTACTAGTGGTGCAATCAAGGATGAACATTCGAAGTGACTTTTAAAGGCTTCGATCCCCGGCTTCTTCAAGCTCTAGCGATAGAAGTTTAGAACAGTAATGTTATTTTCATTTCTCATGACTCGAAACTAGCGCAAAACATTTATATATCCTCGACATGGTACTCGATAGATCTGTTAATAACTACAATCGATGGCTTTTGGTTCGCAGGATCTCATTGTCAGATTATATCTGACATGAGAGTGCAAAAGATCACGAAGAACCCATTGCGAACTAACATAAACATCTGCGGGAATGAAGAATACTTGCTCACGTACAATCATCGACTATGATATTCTGATAAGATGCGAATGTACCGCCACTTTACACTGATAATTGTTGATAATAATGCAGCTGTTGCCCCGCGGAGAATTTTATCGGCTAACGGATAACCCGCGGCTCGCGTTATACATAAATAAACAAATACCTTTGTGGCAGATACAAGTGTAACAATATTTCTGCTATCGTACGACAAATGTTCCATGAAAAATTCGTTATGTTTTATTATGAGTAAATTGATTTTGTGTTATTGATAGTTAAAATAAAAATTGACCAACGTTAGAAACGCTGAGCTGTTGTTGTCGTTCTTCAAAGCCAAGACCAGAATCGTTCGAATTGTCGCAAGCGTCTTGCACCGAGTTAACTATTCTTGCTTCTTGATCATCCGAATTTTGAGCGGTTGCACCGCTCAAAGAAATCGATGGAGTTCTAGACTGTTGCTGCTGTTGCTGCTCTCGTTGCTGATGAACTGCTCTCCTATTAATTAAGTGCGTTCGATTGTTGGGTGCCGTGGAACTCCTTAAAATGGATCCTGTCACCGTGGACGATGAGCCTCCTGCATTGTTACCTGAAACATCAAAAAATATGAAAATCTAATGAGGACGTTTGATTTTCTAAGATTTATTCGTTTGATCTTCAAACACGTCCGAGAACGTACGGTTTATCTAAATCAGTTAGTTATTATGTTTTTTTTTTTTTTTTCATATACTCCATTCGATTTATGTAATTAGACTCGCTGTAGAAATATTGTTGACTGGTTTCTTATGAATAATTGATAGACATGCGACGCACTATTGGTGATTTATTTTTGTTGGAAGTTTATGTATAATAAAATGATCGCAAGGAAGACACACAGAATGTTATTTTATTAAAAAGAAAAATAAAAACATAAGAAACAGGAATTATTATCGGAGACGCAAGAGACATCGATGTCAATAGTGCCACGTTTGTAAAAATTTCAACGGATTTTCGGTAGTGTTTGTTCACAGCTTGTACACACATGAGATTACTATCTGGTCGATCAAAGTCCAACGATCGAAATATTCTACAACTGTGGAGAAAGAAGAAGAAGAAGAAGAAGAAGAAGAAGAAGAAGAAGAAGAAGAAGAAAAAGAAGAAGAAAAAGAAGAGATAGGCGCTGAGATATGTAAGGCAATGAAGAAGCGAGAAGAAAAATGACGATGTTGATGTTGATATTCCTGATAAAAATGACAAGAAAGAAAGAAAGACAAAAAATTAATTCTTATGAGAAAGAAAAAAAGACGCGAAGGTGAGAAAATAGGAAAATAAAGATGGCGAAGAGAAGAGAACGATAACGGTGGATAAAAAAAAAAAAGAAAAAAAAGAAAAGAAAAAAAAGGGGAAATAAAGGAAGAGGAGATTGGCAGAGAAAAGCAATGTCGAATGATCTAAGTATAGAACATCGACTGCTGAACGGAATAATTGCGTAGGGGTAAAGTTGCAATCGCGAACGCAACTGGTGGTGCTGGTGAAACTGGGGGTTTCGATTTACCCCGCCTCATGCGTTCTCTTTCTCTTTCTCTTTCTCTTTCTCTCTCTCTCTCTCTTTTTTCTCTTGCAGAGTGTGGAAGAATATGGAGGGGTGAGTACGGCGACTAATGGGCGCTTGCACACACTTGCAAGATGCATCAGTGTGAACGTCGAGGAAAATCACGGGACGATGTCAACGACCCACAACACACGACCCTACATTTCCAATCTCATTGCGCTTCACTTTTCTCCACCCATTACACCTCCCCCGCCCCTTCAGCCTCCCTCTCGCGAGCCTCGCGGATCCTGCAAGTGTTATTTGTCGTAGCAATATCGATCATATGCTGAGAACGCCGCTTCTATTCATTTTTTTCGACATCAAAGTATTTCTCTCTTTCTTTCTTAGGCTATCTATTTTTTTGTTCTATTCCATCGAACAGTCTTCAACAAGTTGGCCAGTTTTCTGTGTTTAATTCTCAATCTAATGATTAATCATGACATTTTACATACATTAATTAATCTTTGAATTATCAACACAAATTTAATTACGAGCGAAACTTCACTTTGTTATTATTGTTCGTTTAATTTTTGATTAATGGTGGAGATATTATTTGAAAATCACACGTTCTCCTATAATTGAAAATATAATTTATCCAATCTTTGAAGAATCAATCTAATTAACTTGTTTAATGTATCGCGGTCGTTTTGTTGTCGTCGTCGTCGTCACTAATCACGGGTGTCATTCAATTCGAGATGTTTTTTTTTAAGCCTTTGCATGTTCTATTACAATAACAAAAAAAAAGGGATTCTAATTTTTCGCTCGTAGATCGATTTTACTTTTAATCGTATATATGACGTATCTCGGTTAATGACGTTAAAGATGACAATAAAGATAAGAAAGGATGACGATCAAGAGAATTATGAATTTTGATTGACATCACGTTGATAGAAAAAGGAAGAGACGATGAAAGGAAGAAGACAAATTAAAAGCTACTACCACCACCGAATCAACCGTGAATATTTGTTTTCATTCGATTCGAGATACAGATACCACTTGAATATAAACAATAAAGATAATGGTGATATTAAAAGCTGTCAGATTTTTAATGTTGCGGAATGTAATTATAATATAGAGAGCGTACTGTTAAAAGTTCGCATGATGCATCTAAATAAATGTAAATCTTCTGAAAAAATAATGATCGTAGGCACGATAGAAGGATATCAGCGGCAAGCAATGGGTTATATGCAACTTGGTTGGAATATGAATTGGGCTTTCCTTCTTTCTTTCTTTTCTTTTTTTTTTTCTTAGGTCAAACTCAGTTAGTATTTGTGTCTCCTTGATCGTCCTCGGCAGACCCGACCAGAACCGAGCATGCATTTGTGAACGTTTTCTACCCCTCCTCTTTTTCTTTCTCTCTCTCTCTCTTTCTCTCTCTCGATAACAGGATCGATAAACATCGTTACTATTACATTGTAAATAGAGCAGCTCGCGCTAACTATGACGCCTCTCGAGTCTCAAGGATATTGTTACCTGTTCATCGTTGGATCGATGCGCTAGCTCGATCCTTGTCGAATCGAAAGTGTTTCCGTGCTATGAGTTAAGACGTCTGTTAAAAGGACCCCATGAACGAACTTTTTCCGATGAAACTCGCGAAAAAATTCCACACTGTTATCGTAGTTTTTCCTAACAAATACGCGATAAAACCCGACAATGTTTCAGAATCATTTTTTATTCGATGAATTAATTATTATAGACATTTAGTCAAATTTTTGTTTTGTTTTTTATACAAATAAAACAACACCATCTCTTTACTCCCCATTACTTATTTCTTTTTTATCCTAGCAATAATCTCCAGGTATAACGAGTAATACACATTCGTTCACAATGTCTGCCAATTTAAATGCGACCTTATCTGTTTATAATATCAAGATAAGATAGCAACCTTTTCTGGTTGCTACGAAATTCGTTATAGATATGCGGTACATTGACCTAATGCATTTCGAAGGTAAAGATGTTAATAATAAAAAAAAAGAAAAAACGGCGTTCAAATTCAAGATTAAAAGAAAACAAATAATTCACGTTAAAGATAACTCTTGACGAGAGATGTATATTCGCGTTAATTAGATACCGGAGAGAAAAGATAGAAAAAGAAAAAGAAAGAAAGATCGCGTGTCATTAAATTCGTAATAAAAATTTTGTCGGTAAAGTCGCGCGTTGCTTATATTTTTTGTTTTCTTCTTCTATTTCTCGTTTCTTTTTCGACTCCTAAAACTATTACGAAAGAAGTTGGTGTGACACGATGACTGTCTGTGTACACTTAATGACATCGCTGATAGCCTACTTAAAAGCTCGAGATAACGCAGAAAGATCCGTACCATGGCATGACGGTGCACAGTGCTTCTGTTCGAGGCTACTATACAAATTTTCGTTTAAACGATGATCCTCCTCCTTCTCTCGACAATCGTTGCTCGTCGCTCGTGTGTTGATAAGCGTATTCGATCTATCGGTTGGTTACTCAAGAACATAGATAACAGGATAACCGATTCCGTCGAATGTGAAACACGTTTAATTGAATAGACGAATAAATGAACATTATACACAAATATTAAAACATTTCAATGAATTATTCAAAAATACTATTAAAAATTAGGATGTGTTAAGGAAACAAATAAAAAAGGAATTAACGATACGAAGTTGAATAACGTGAATTTCTAACCAATATAATGAGATATATTGAACAAAAATAAAGTACAAGAAAAGTAATTAAATTGTATCACTATGGTACGATCACTATGCAATTTTAAAATTAAAATCAACGACACGTACGATCTATGAAGTTTTGGTAATCGATCGATCGATCTTCTTCTACTTGTAAATTCAAACGATTCGCGGAGAATGATCGCGATCTGTCGTAACGATGATACATACATGCTTATCGCAGATAGCTCATCTTATCGATGATTCTCTCTCTCTCTCTCTCTCTCTCTCTCTCTCTCTCTCTCTGTCTTTCTTTTATTGAAAAAAAGAATGTTACACTACTTACAGTGGAACTAAAACTCCTGATAGTGTTCGACCAATTGAGTCAATGTAATTGATAGTCTAACATGCGGGTTTGCGTATGTACGTTTTATATATCTATTAAATGTAGACATAGACGACACGTCGACGTAATGAAAGTCGAACGCGCGTGCTTTCGACACGGCACATGCTCAAAACACGTGCGCGAGCGTAGCACGAGATTTTAATCCGACAAATCGAAATTCGAGGGTACGAGGGCAAAGTAAAAAGAAGAGTAAGTTAAGATTCTCCGACTGGCCAATCCATTTTTAACGAATAACAACAACTTATTTTTATCTCATTTTATGTTTTTGTTTTTCTTTTATATTTGCTTTACCTTAATAATAAATAATAAAATTGAGATAAATTAGTGAAAATTGTTGTAAATCTCAGCATCGGTTTTAAGATTCTGTTTGGAAAATCAATAGAGGATAGATCTTTATGAAATGTTTTATCTTTTATATATTAAAAGTAAATTTGAAAAGTATCTGACTCGTTTGACTTCAATATGCAAGAAATGTAATTACGTTTAATTTACTTTTAAACCGATTCAAGTATGATTAAAGTATTATTAATTGAATATTTTTATCAATTCGTTATATCGATTAATTAAAAAACGATAAAAATTTTCTATACAAAAGCGAGACGATTGAAATAATTTTTGCTATTCAAAGTTTTATAATCGTAAAAAGTCGTTTTGTTTTCATAAAATTAATAAACACGAAGATATCCAAAATGTCGATAATAATTTATTCAACCTGTTTACAAATGAGGAGAAAACAAAAATTCATTGAAAAAAAAATATAATACGTATATAAAGATTAATTTGATTCCAATTAATGCAATAGTTTAATGCACATGTTTTCTAAGAAAAGCGTACATTTTGATCATAATAAGATTAAGATCATTTAATTGCAAAGACATGCAAGGTCGCAAGAAATACTCAAGAAAAGAATCTACACATATTTTTAGACTTTCTTCTTGATCTCAACTAAAAATACAAACGAAAATGATAGTGTGATTAAACGACAACCGACAACGACAACGATAACGACGATAATAACAATGGCGGATGATACAAGTCTTCGAGATAAATTCATTTCTTTTGTTTGTCCAATGAACGATCTATGTTAATTCGACAAACATTTTAAGATAGGACGATTAGAGAGAAACCTGTTTGTTTGTTTTGTTCATTATCATTAAATATCGATAATGCGATTGACAAAATGATCTTTAAGTTTAGGTTTTTATTTCATCCTACCATTTTCCTTTTTACATATTTCTTTTTTTTCTTTTTCAAAAACAAGTTCGACCTATATTCGAAATATAATTTATTTGCTTTTTTTTTTCTTCTCGGTAAAACGGATCATAGTTTCTTTGAAAGAAGTTTTCTTTCACGACATGTGATCGAAGATGACGAAAGGAAACGGATTGAAAAGGCATGAGGGGCGAGAGAGAGAGAGAGAGAGACAAAGAAAGAAACTAGATGATTTCCAATAATCGTTAAGATGACGGTTTTTAATCGTGAATAAGACGAAAGTGCATCGACAAATGACGAGTCATGCATTCCCTGGGGCTTTTTACAATCATAACGATTCATGTCTAGGTTTATTCGACGTATATATACACATATATACGTATACATTTAAAAGTACGTAGAATATGTAGATGGCAACGTGATTAACACGTAACACAACATAATCGAAGTGAAAAACGTGTAATACTCGATCATCCGGAAATTACGGGAAAAAGTTTTTTCGGTTTGTTTTCTCTCTCTCTCTCTCTCTCTCTCTCTCTTTCTGTCGAAATAAGTTCACCTAGAATTGGTTTCTCGAATAAAACATATGTTATATCTGACAAGGATATATAGCGAATCTTTTTATGAATTCAATATGAAGAATATGTGAAGAAATTTGTAAGAGATAGAGAGAGAGAACAAATAAATATGTTGATTTATTATTAGAGCAAAAGAATCGTATAATGTTTCTTTCTCTTTCTCTTTTCGTTTCTCTATCTCTTCCACGTGAAATAAGTAAAGATTATTTTTCATACGCGAGCACGTCTTTGGCACGATGATTTTACTTGATTATCGTGTATAATACAATATACAAAAAAGTATTAAATTCATGACAATATATCCACGAAAATATAATAAAGAAAAATAATTAAATCAGACCTTTCCTCGTCTCGTTAAATTTTTCGAAAAAGAAGGATATAAAGTATAAATTTACAATTTAAAAACCCAAGGGATAACTATTATAATAGATTATATTTTTTCTCTTCTTCAATTAGCGATAAAAATTTTATAACAATATTTGTAGAAAATAAATACTAATAAGTAATAAGAATTTATAGAATAGAGTAATACAATAAAATGGAATGATATTATATTATTTATTTGTATGTTTCTTATTTCATTTACGTAATTTGAGCCGAGTAAAAATGTGGTTAAGAATCTCGATGGAAAGACGCGTTTATTAGACGGAGAAAGCGGAAGAACAGGATCTCAATAGGTCAAATACGAAGGAGGCTCGATCATATACACATATATATTATATATATATGTTAGTTAGTTATGTATTAATTTATTCCTTTTTTTTTCTTGTCAATATTCGAAAAAATATTACCGTGAAAATATAGATCCGTCGGTAATGAGGATTTAAAAGAGATCGGTCTAGGAAGTTGCAATAACATCCCCATGTGTTCGTAACAAGGACTTGTAGAAGTGCCGTTGCCGGTCCTCCGAAGTTCTTCCCTTCTTTTTTCGAGGTCGGGTGCCATCAGAAGCACCTCGATAATAAAGTTTTCACAGTAGTCTTTACTGCCAATATACAGTATCCACCGTATTAATTTATCAAAAGATTTTATCGATCAATTATAAACTTATTATTATTATTATTATTATTATTCACAGTATTTACAATAATCCTTCTTCCTTTTTCTCTCTTCTTTCTCACGATTGGTCACACAGAAAAACTACCAAGAACTCGGAATATATCGTTCGATATATCGAACCGTGGACACTCTTTACTAGTCATCATTTTTTCCACGAAAAAAAATAAAAAGGAATGAGAAAAAGGAAGATAGATAAGGAAGGAAGAAAGGAAGTAAGGAAAGAAGATTTTTTAAAATCACGTCGCACACTTAACACTTGTGTATCAATATATTATTACGATTGATAATTATCAATGAGTATAAATGAAATAAATTTGAATAAAAAAAAAAAAATAATACATACAGAGAATATATATATATATATAGAGAGAAGCAGATGGAAATCTAATGACGATCACGTTTAACAACGAGAAAGAAGACACGTATGGGACGAGTATCGTGCTCGTACTGTCGCGCGTAGTTTCGAACCAAAGCCGGCGAACGTGGTGGCTCTGAACGAACCAAGTAAATAATCCCCACTTCTTCATATTTTTCATTTACCCTTCACTCTACCACGTTCCTAGACGTCGCCAATGCTGGCGTCGTCGTCATCATCGTCATCACAGTCCTCGTCTAAGCTCTCCTTCTCCTCCTCCTCCTCACCAATTATTTTTCTTCTCTCGTCAACACAACATTTAAACTCCCGCCAAAAGCAAGCTAAGTACTATCTGTTTATAGATTTTTAACTCACGGAAATATATAATTGGAACGAGATAAATGTTCGATGAGAATTTTTGGCTAACATTAGTGAACACAAAAAGTTTATCCATCAATACGATTCAATTTTTTCAATGTATAATTAATTATTCGTTTAACTTATACCGTGCATTTGTTAGTTATTCGATTGTGTGTGTGTGTGTGTGTGTATATATATATTTCCTTTTATTTTTTTTCTTTCAAGAACAAGTTGTTCATTTTTATTCCGCAGATAGTCGAGGTTTGATCAATCCCTCCCTCGTGAAATGTTTAACAGAATGAGCTACTGTATTCCTTCGATCTATATCGAAATTTCGTATATATATAAAACTCGTAATATAAATTATTTATAATTCATCAATATCTTTCACCTATAAACTTAAGCAAATTTTAGAATTTTTTGATAAATATGTATTTTCTTAATACAAATCGTTATTTTATTTTTTCTAATCTTTTAAGATTTCATTTATTTCCTATAAATTAAATGAAAAACACGTTTAACAATAATATTCAACGTCGAAGAAATATTTCGAAAGATATCGTTAACTTCCTCAATTTTTTTTCTTCGAGTACTAATTAAGAATGAATCATTTAGATATTTTTACAAAGAAAACGAAAAAAAAAAAAAAAAAAGGAATATGTTATTTTGAGAAGAATATTCAAAATCCTCTTTTCTATAATTTATCGTCGAGAAACAGTTGCTGTGTAATAAGTAAAAGTAATCATTAAAGATGGCACTAACATCAAAACTTATTTGATAAGACTCGTCGGAGGCGTCATTTCATTTAATCGTATGTCAACAACATTTTGAAGTACTTTTATTGTTTTAGAACGAGATAATCATCGGTATGTATCTCTTTTACAATTGTTATTAATGTCAATCAAAATCTATATTTGAAAAGGTTTTTTTGTTATAGTATAACTAACAAATTAGAAATATCCAGAAACAACGTATCGTCCGGAGAAAAATCCCCATCACGAACTTTGAACGGTGTTGTGGCGTCGAGAGACCCAGAAAAGGTCCAAAAGGTCAAAGTTGATTTGTTCTACTATCAGCGATTAATAATAATAACGATAATGCAGAAAGAGAGAAAGAGAAAAGTGGTGTCCAGACAAGGCCGAGTCCTAGCTCGGACATTCCGGTAATTGCGATATATTTGTTATAAGAAGCACGGTCACTGCCCTTTGAACCGATCAACCCATGTGTGCCTGAATGTGTATGCGTATGAGTGGGTAGAATAGTGTTCTATTAATAATACCCTCGAGACTTGTCGCTTCACCATTGAAAAGGGTGTCTCTGTTTTCAGGTAAGGCGTTAATTATACGTCAAACTTATCCTTGAGATTGGGATGTGTGAATTACAAAACTGTCTCGCACTAATATGTAATAAATACGACAAATACACATACATAGAATATTTAAAGTAACGTTATTTTGGTCATGTTTTGTTCATCTTTCGATTAATAACAGATTTACAATTAAATTTAAACAAATATAGATATTTTTATTTTTATTATATATTATCTCGTCGAAAATAGATACTTTTTAATAATTATTATTCGTATATTATATGCCACACAACATATTAATTAAAATTAATCTAATTTCTATCATATAAAATTAGTAAACGATAATTATAATTATTTAGAAGTAAAGAAATTATTCGATTAAACAATTTTTTCTAAATGATATGCCTTTATTTCAGTTAGAAAACACGATATATTCCATATATGAGTAATTAAAAATTCAATTATGTGAATTCACGTCCGATTATTTTTCGTTACCGTCATGCTGACGATTTGTATTCATTCACTGGAATTCAAATGAATTCAGCGAACTTTATCGTAATTCTTGATTAAATATAAATACAAAACTCTTTGTTTTTGTTCAATGATCGAGGGGAATTCATCGTCGACCTTCGCAGATACACTCTTCATTTTAAGTTCGTTTTTGCTTTTCAAGGATAATCACAAAATCCTTCTTGCATTTAGTGAGTCCATGATGACAGGTATTATAGGAAATGCTAGTACGATGAGAAGAAAAAGAGAGGACCGTTTTGCTTGAAGAAACACGAACTTAAACGTGATTAGATAATCAGGAATTGAACAATCAATTAACGAACGTCTCTCTCTTGAGGATTTTCAGGAAATATTTAAAAACACTTGTTCACCGACTGCGCTTATAAGGGTAGTAGAAAAAAAAAAACAGAAATTTATTGTCAAATATATAAATTTAAGATCGAGCTTATTAGTAAAGTGCCAAACTTACATATATTGTATACTTTCTTTATCATAGATGCGCTGCAACACGATGTCACGCAATTATTTCGGGTAAAACTTATGGTTTAACTGAATTATACAATTTAATGCTAACATATATACAAATATATATTTTTTTCTTATAATTTTAAAAAACTATTTATTAATTAATATTAGTTAAATTTGATATTGTCAGTTACCGGTGACTCTCTAATATGACGTTTAAAACTTGTTCAAAGATTTTTGAAGTTATACTTCTTTTTGACGCGTTAAGGAAAAAAAGGATGAGAGTGATATTTTTTTTTTAACTGCACTACTGCATCATTACTATATATATATATATTTTTTTTTCATAAGAAAAGCACTCGATGACAAAAAAGTATATACAAATGAGCAGATCGGATAATTATCATTAAAAAATAATTACTATGCGTCGATATTACTTATCATAATTAGTTCGATTTGCAAATGTCGAGCCCAACTTGACTAACAATTAAAACTTTAACGATACTAGTTAATCTTTACTAATAAATGCAAATTTAACTCGGTGGTCTTGGTTGCCATAATGGTTACGATACTTATAGAATAAGTAAATACCATTGTAATGACGTTTATTGTGGTTGTGTGATGATTACCGATTAATTATATTTTATCCTTACATCATCGTGTGTTTTTAAAATCTTCATACGAAGGAAAGAAAATAAATCGAAGGGAAATCACAAGCATCGTGACCAACAAATCGAACTTCCTCGAATCAAACTTGACCACGACCAATGTGTTACATAGCGTTTCTTATAAACGTTCTGAGACTGAATCTAATGATTAATCCTGCAATCCGATCGTTAGGAGCGATTAGAGCAATTAGACCAGATGCTGCTGCTTGGGTAACGTTTACTTGACGCACTACACAATGTGATCGTTTGAAATTGTTTTATCGTACGTTTAATCTCCTTCATAGCGACAACAAAAAAAAGATACTAAAGAGATATGAATAGCGCATTATTATTTTTTTTTTCGATTAAATAATGCAGCGGTTCTCCAACCGGAATATGTGTTTAGTGGATTTTAAGCAAGCACAAAATTGAATAATGATGATTAGAATATATATATATCTTTTTGTATATTAATAGACTGAATTCTGCTACTTCATAACTGTTCCTTCAGAAATAACCTTGGGAACCGTTAAAATAGAGAAATAGATAAATAGATGTTTATTGAAATGCTTATGACTAATGGCTCATAATAAGATAGTCAAATAAATACCAGCAAAACATGAATACAACTAAAGTGTATTGTAAATAAAAAATAAAAAATATAATTAGTTATATAAATATTTAAACAGATGAGAAATTGTGTAACGAGAAATAGTTAATAACGTATATAGGTATACATATACATGCGTGTTGTAATAGATATGTATAGATAATTATAATAATGATAGAAAAAAAAAGAGATAATATGATAAGATGTTAAATGATCTTCAGAGATCGTATTAATAAAAAGAGAGAAAGAAATGAGTACAAAGATAAAAAGAAAGATAAAGATTGAAAAGCAAAAGAAAAAAAATTAAACGGGGAATAACGACGCATTATGGTAAAGAAAAAAAAAATTTAATGAAAATAGACACGTTTACGAGAAATTGGCGAGAAGAAATTAAATAAAAAATATCGACGTAATATCAGAAAATGATCTCGAGTTTTACCTTATTTCTCTTTCTCCCGTTATGATTTACACAATTATTTACATATATTTGACGAAGCCCATCAAAAGATTCATCCTAATTAGTTTAAGCTATACAGAGAGTTACCAATTTTAACAATGATTTGAAATTGAGTAAATTTATTTTGAAAATTGTAATTAACCAAAATTTATATTTTTATAATTGAAGGTAAATAATAATCAATTTGGTACTGGCATAAATAATAAATAAAACAATTTTTATATGATAATAAGATGATATTTGTTATTATAATTGTATTATAGTAAAAAATTGAATGCATAATTTTAAAACAATATGTTAAACCGGTAATGTAATTGTGATACGTTTAATATTGCTGGCATTTTATTTAATAAAGTAATATAATTAATATTATATAAAATTTTCTTTAATATATAAGTCCTAAATTTTATTTTCTTGCGATTTTATAAGTTATCTAAAAACGATTGAAGACACAAATTTAGAAAGGATAGAAAAGTGCTTAATATTATCTTATAGGATTCAACTGGATGATCCATAAGCAACATAGAAATAAGAAAAGATCTATGAGAATGATCTATGAAGAATTTACGTTTAAACGAAAAACGATATTAATTTTAGGTGTCTGGAATTGATCCAAAAACGATTTAGAAACAAACTCGAAGCTTAAAATTATTCGAAAGAACAAAAGGTTGTACTCGTGAAACTGGTACGATGTAACCATCGTAACAACACAGACATCTCGTTTTACTTTTCCCTTATGCCTATATCTCTTTCTTCTTCGCAAAAGCATCAACAGTAGAAAGATTGCGAGTCTCGTACGGATCGTTAAACGTAAATCTCGTTTCTCGGCATCGTACGATGACCCGTCGTGTTTATTTATCATCGAGTTCTACAACATATAACTATTATTTGGTATTCATACGACAAGTCTTACATGTAACAATTATTATCTCTTTACTCTTTCGTTATTTGTTTCTTTCAAATAGGTTTCGATTGGAATCGTGAACAACCGAATGTACAACGAATTCGTTTATAACATTAAAATATCGTTAAATTTGTTCATAATATATATTTTCGCAACTAATCTTATTATTTATTAATTCTTCGATCAAGTGTGATCTTCTCGTATCGTTATAAATTTTATTTAAAGCACAGAGAATAGAAGATAAACTCAGAATATCCTTGAAATAGTAATATCTTCAGATTTAACGCGTAAATAACGTATAAAAGAAAACGAGAAAGATAGAAATATAGATAACATAGGTCATTTATTTGTCACGAAACTTGGCTTAACTTTCTTTGAATATTAACTTTAAATTCAGGAAATATATTTAATCTGATCTATGATTCATTGATTCTTCAAAATAAAATGATGAATCGTCTAGATTTGTATGAGTGAGTGTTAAATAATGTTTACATTTTGTATAACTGTAAGTTTAAGTACTAATCAATAGTAAAATAATGATGTTTTCATTCAGAATTATATCGATTTTCAAATATACCTATGTATAAATATACAAACTTGTACACTTATTTCATAATATAAACAGTTTATCGGTCTACTATTGTTATCGGTGATAACTAATGAGCCATAAATAACTGTAGAACTTATATTTGATTTGTATTTTTGTTTTGTTTTTATTTCTCTTAGATATTGTAATTATTTCTTAAATAAAAATACACATCCGGCGAATAAGTATTTTGTATTTTATCGATAGAGAAGAAATATATTTAAAAATTGATCAATATATATTGACAAATAAAGCATGTATCGATTCTTACATATTATACATGTATAAATTTATGCCAAGTGACCTGAAAAAGATTCGTCATATCCTAAAATAAAGTGCATAAATCTTGAATAATGTAAATTAAAAATAAAATGAAACACAATGAAAAATTTCTTTCAACGTTGGAAAGAAACTTACGATCGATATCAAAAGTGATCGGTCATTGAGCTCCACTATTCCGAGACGAGAGAACTCACATTTTCTTGGACACAACTAAAGACTTTATCGGTGGGTAGACGGCCTGCTATCTACCGTGATTCTTACAACTACAAAAGTCATTGATGATAAGCTTGAATCAACGTTTCAACGATGAATCGAGAAACTTCTAATTTTCTATCGTCAGATCAAATTTGAAATTACTAATCCATTATATCAAATATTTATCTATATTCAAGTGTTCTTTCATTTTTAGACATGGCTGCAAGAATGTTTTTTTATTTTTTTTTCGATAGAAGTTGTTCTTTCGGAAAGTGTAACAAACAATTATCATGGAAACTGCTTTAGATAATTAAAACTATTTTGGATTGTTATGTCTCATAGCAAAATTTAAATGTGTGTGTGTGTGTAAATACTCGAATGCAGTGATTCTCAAACTGCCCTTGCTAAATTTAGATTTTTTCAAGGCAACTTATGTTGAATTCTAATATATTCACCTTATAAAAAAGTTAA